TTTTTTTAGAAGGACGCGTTCCCCGCTACATCAAAAGGAAGCCAAGGAAGGGAGGGCGGAGGGAAAGCGGGGACTGGGGCGGGCGAGGGCTGGGGAGAGGCCGGGGCGCGGGCGACCTTATCAATAGCCTCGGGAATTAGTATCCAATCGACTGTATGTAAAGAAAGGGGAGGGAAGGGGCGGGCGAGGAGAATGTCTAATTGCGGTGGAAGCCATTAGCTTTCTGGAAGTAAAAAAGCTCGCTGAAAAACCCAAGTTGCAAACTCAAAATGAAACAGTCCCGCGCGGCGGATGACAGTCGGGGCTGAGTACGGTGTTCCTCGGAAGACAGCGGGTGCCTAACAATCACCTCTTGATTTCAGTCAACGTGGACTTCCCGACTCAGGCCTTGAGTCCCTCCGGATAAATAAGTGAACTTAACATTTTAAGACCCCATAAAGGACTTACTCAAACTTCAGCTCAGCCACCTTTGAGCGGATCAAAGAAAGCTGTAGGGGTAGGGGGTGGGGGTCAGTGTGGGCGAGAGAGGTATCTTTAAAGTATAAATCTGCCCCGACAGGCAAGGACAGAAGCCGGCGAGGGCTCCCAGCCTCTTGACATCACTTGGTAACTAACCCAGCACGGCCTTTTCTCCACCTCCCTGCAGGGAAAGCATCCCGAGCCCTGGGTCCCCTGAAGGGGGGCAGCGGGGGGCGGGGAAGAAGCGGGTGGTCGTCCTCCGGGCCTCGCCCACCCTGGGGAGAAAACCTGGCTGGTGAGGCCTCAAGTCTCGGGAGCGGCGAGCCGAGGGGCCCTCCTCTCCCCTTCCCTCCCCCCAACCCCAAACCGTCTGGCTTTACGGAGAAATTCCGGCGGGGAGCGGGGCCGGGGGGTGGGGGACAGACGGCTGTGAAGGGGAGGGGCGCGGGCGGATGCCCCTCTCCCCGCCGCCCTCTCCGTCCACCCAGACCCGCGGGTGCGGGCGCTCCCCGCGTGGCAGGCTCGCCCCTTCAAGTTCCCCATTGACTTCCCCTTCCGATTACGGACTGTTCCCGAACAGCCACCTCGCAGCGAATCCGTCCCCCAGTGGTTCAGGCTCCAAGGCTTGGGGTGGGGCGTGCGAGGGTGCGGAGGTTGGCAGGAACGTCTCCGCGAGGCTTGGACTGGAAACTGAGTTCTCCCTTTTGGTCGCCACTCCGACCATGTGTTAAAACTTTAATTTTGCTTTTGCTAAAAAGCACTCCTCTTCGCACGCGGGAAAAGGCACGTTGCCTTCTGGGCAAACCTGCGCCTTTTCTTGAGTGTAGCCTTAGGTTTAGAGGAAAAAACCAAACGTCTGTGCTCCGGCTTTTAAGTCAAAACTGGGCACTGTAGGGGAAAAAACAAAACAAAACAAAATGTTGGCTCTTCCTTATTCCTTTTTCACCCCTCAAGGGGGAAAAAAAAAACCTTCCCTTTGTAGGATCAATGATAACCTTTAGCGAACGTCAGTTTTACTCGACTTTTATTCCCTCCCTGGCCGGCTCACCACCCCTCGCGTTGTGGAGTTTCGGTTGGAAAGTGTACAAACCCCTGTAGGTGCAGGGTGTTTATAGGCACAATTTCTGCAGGAACCTGCAACGCTAAGCACACTTACGCCCCAGCTCACCTGGCGGATGCCGCCCAGCCAGGTGATCCCGCTGTCGGCTACAAGCTTCGTCCTCCTAGGGGCGCTCTGGCGGGGTGGGGGGAGGGGAGTGAGTTCGGGCTCAGGCGCCCCCGCCACCCCTGACTCCCCATCCCCCCAGAGCAGAGCGGTGTATTTCTCCATTTAGGGATGGGCGGGCAGTCAAAACCGAAAACCCGACGGTCACTTGAAAGTAGATGGCCAAGGGTCCGAGTCTCGGCTCTAGGAGGCCGGAGTACCAGGAAGGAAGCCGAGGAGGTGCAGAAGGAGGGGACGGGAGGGAGTGGAAGCAAATTAGGAAAATGTGCGAAAGGAAGAGGGTCAGGTCGGGAACTGGAGCTCGACGGGACAGAAGGTGGGTGGGGACGAGCCACCGGGTGGCTCCCCGCGCCAGGCACTGGGACCCAGGTGTGAGAGCCCTTCCGGGACCCCGCACGGCCGCCCCTCGCCCGTGGCAGCCCCGGGGCGCCCAGACCCTGCGGGGATAGACACGGGCCGGCCTGCGCTCTCCAGCCGCCCTCCCTGGGTCCGAGCTTGAACCCGGGCTGCGTGCCTCGGGCGGCAGATGCGACAGGCGTGGGTCAGGAACGCCTGCCGTCCGTTCGCCCCCCTCCTATCTTCCTCCCCTCCCTTGAAAAAAAAAAAAAGAGTAAAGAGACCCGAACTTTCCCCCTCTTCCTGTCTGGTTCAGCTGCCTCACGTGGCCGAAAATAGCCCTGGAAGTGCCTTCGCTTTATAAAAGTGACTTTTCCAGTAAGATCTGGGGCGGGGGGCATGTGCCCCCCGGCGTCGGTGGGGCCCGGCCTCTGGGAGGAAAGGGAACCGGCCGGCTCGCTCCTTCGCCCTCCCCCGCGGCGCCCGGGAGGGGCCCGCTGGGCAACGGAATCGCGCCTCCGCCGGAGGAGCCACCACGCGGCTTTTTCGCGGAATTTTGACGTCACCCACACGTGGGGGAAGGGGCTGGGAGAGCGAGAGGAAGCGGCGGGGGAGGGGG